TTCCATGTTCAGAAACTCAGTTTCCTGGACGTAATTTCTAAGAATCTTCCAATCGGTGTTGGTTAAGAATGTTATTTCCGGAATAAGATCACTTCCAAGATACTTGGATCTAACTTCGACGAATGCCTGACAGTGGCAAAGAAAGTGCTCCAGAGTTTCACTGTCCTCTCCACATGCTCTACATTCGTCTGAATCCGCACGTCCAATTTTGTATAGATGTGCACGTAATCCTCTGTGTCCACTCAGAATACGTACCATCATACTAACCTCAGACTTGCTCATTTTGAGGAGATTTCTCGTCTTGCTCTCATCAGGGTCACCCCATAGAATCTTTGTGGTTCTACCCACCGTTTCATTATTCCAAGAGGCCTTATGGGATTCTCTCATCCATATTTTTAATTCAGCTTTTGTTGCGTCGAATGGTTTTGCGTTTGTCAGGTTAACTACATCGAGCTCCCTTCCATTTAAAGCTATTACATTCGCCCTTTCGTTGCCGACTACTCCCGAGTGGCCTCGTACCCATATGATGTGAACCTTACCTCTGGGAGAGTATTCAGTTCAAATTCAGTTCAAATTTAATTTTAGATATTCAGAATAATTAATTTACTTCTATAATTTTTAGTCCAAAGTTTACCATTTTTTGTTTATTATTTTTCGTAGGATGACTATGCAAATCAAATCCATATGCGAAAATATGCAAAAACCCGCGACCACAATATTGTTTAATTTAATGAGGGATTAAAAATCTACAATTTTATATATAATAAGTTGTGGGTAGATGAGGGCCAAATAACTTAAAGTCTATAATAATAATTTAATTAGTATTTAAGAAACCTGTGTTTTGAAAAGGTTAAAAAAGTATTCTCAGGGATTTTTTAATGGGCTTTTTTTGCAGTTTTTGTCATTTAATCTGGTAGAAAATAAGTTAAAATTTAATGTTTGCAGGATTTTTGGAGACTTTTGCCACAATAAGACACAAAAATTTTTAATTAAACTTAAGTTTTCTTATATGACTTTGCAAACACAATATATGAACATACCTCCAGTTTCAACGGACACAATTAAATTACGCAAAAAAAATCAACAAAATTTGATAGATTCATAAAATTTAGAGTGTTATCAATAAATTTAGTGCAATAAAGCTTAGAAAAAACACAAACTTTTTTGAATTTTTGGCCTATAAGGGAAACCAGTGTGCATTGATCTAACCTCAGGTTTCCATCAAATACCTATGAAGCCATCTGACATCAAAAAATCTGCATTCTCAACTATGAACGGAAAATACGAATTTCTTCGCCTACTATTTGGACTGAAAAATGCTCCTGCGATTTTTCAAAGAATGATTGATGATGTTCTCAAAGATTTTACCGGGACTATAGGAGGCTAATCTGAAGGTTAACATTGAAAAGACGCATTTTATGCAGACAGAAGTTGAGTTTTTAGGATATTTAGTAGGTCCCGATGGAATAAAACCTGATTTTAAAAAGGTGGAGGCCACTAAGAATCTTTTACCTCCTACTAATCTAAAAAAGTTAAAGGGTTTTTTAGGAATGACATAAAGGACTATGCAAAGGTGGCATAGGACTATGCAAAGGTGGCAAAACCATTAACGAACTTGACTAAAGGTGAAAATTCACAGGTAAGGGCAAACCAGTCAAAAACGGTTCAAATAGAATTGAACTCTGAGGGACTAATGGCTTTTCAAAAGCTTAAAGATCTCCTAACTACATCATTAGTTCTTGCGTTCCCCGACTTCGATAAACCATTCAACCTCACGACGGATGCTTCAAATTACGCTATTGGCGTAATTTGAAGCATTAATGCAGATACTCTCTCAAGATCGAAAACTGGAATCCACCACAACAGCGATGAATCTACAATGTTAGCTAGCGAAAACCACTCGGAAATCAGAAGAACAGCATCAGAGGTGAGCGACACAAAATACGAAAACCGCATCAGAAACAAGGGATGTCGACACAATATCAACCGAAAAACTTTATGTAATACAAATAAATATGATAGAAATCCCCCAGATAAAAATATAATCAGCGCAGTTAAGTAAACGGACAAGTAGAACGCCTTCACTCAACTTTGATAGAAATTTACAGATGCTTAACAACACCATACATTCCCAGACTGGAAAGAGACCTGGTAACATTTTTTTTAACAGGAATAAAGTATCAGACTTTAGAAAATTGCTTGAAATCAAAAATATATAGAATTATATTCGAAATGAATATTTAAGAAAAAAATAATATATCTACGATAAAAATATATATGTATATCCTTGTCCTAAATTATAGTGGTAGGCGTATATTTACGCAGGGGTTCAAATCCCCATGGAAAAGGGAAGGGAAGGATATTTTTCATATTCCACTCTATCATCACATGTTAATGATTTCTAGCAACTACTTTTAAGCTTCTTATTAATTCTATTAATAAAACGGCTCTGCCCGTAAGTTATTCCAATTACGCAAAAACTTATAATAATTTATAAATATAAAAATGGGCCTTGCCCGAGCATTATTGACCATAGAATACAGAAATATGTTTTTACTATTAACCATTCTATTACTTTCTACCACGAGTATAATTACTCCTCAAGCTGCATATATTTTCCGTTACGATGCACCTATTGTAACAGTACGAGCTGGAAATGCTTTTACGGTAAACGGTAATCTAAAATTGTTTCACCTTATAACTCTTGACAACTATGCAACAATTGCCAACAACGTAATATCGTTAGTCCAAAAACACTTGCAACCTAATCAAAATAAAGATTTCATCAATTATTACCTTGCACAAGTCCAGGAAAGACTAATTGAGCTCAAAGGTACAAAAAATAGAAGACGAAGATCAATTGAATGTATCGGTTCAGCTTGGAAATGGGTCGCTGGAAATCAAGAAAATAAAATCGGAGTGAAGAATCCCTGCCTACATATCAACAATGTAACGGTTTGTCAGGAATCCTTGACAATTTAGGTGAAGGAACCTGGGTACCACGTCTGCTTAAAGGGGGAAACGCCAAAAAGATTAATAATCAGATTGCTGAGATGATAACTCCAGACATAGTTTTCCTAACTAATTACATTACAAAAACATAAAGAGTTGCTCAACGGTACTTACCTGATACAATTGTTTAACGAAACTATTTTGCTAGATAAAGAATCTTATTCTAGTACATATATCTCTAGAATGCAACCCTTGCCTTCCATTCTCACAAATGTTACAACTGAAAGATTGGTGGTGGACATAAACCAAATCCTTTACATGAGCTTGCAAAACATTAACACTATTGAGTACCTGAAAATTAAGTTAAATCTGACAATTGACAGCCACATTGGTAAGATAATAGTAATGGCCATTTGATTAACAAGACCACACAACCTGCCGGTAGTGAAAACCACACAAGCAGTCTTGATCACGCGTTCGCAAGTTACGGTTTAAATTAGATTAATGTTTGAGATAAAATTTTACTTGTATTTAGTTTTTGTTACAATAACACAATACAAGTAAAATTTGTGCTCAAACTACTCACACGTTATCTAGAAACTGCACATAAATAAAAATTAAAATAAATTTTAATAAAATTAAAGAATTAAAGTGAATAAAATCATCTGATGTGTTTTATTTGAAGGCGTATTTGGTCACGCCATAATTTATCTTTTTAATTTCACCACATAAAAAACCTTAACTGACATCCAAGCATACGAAACAGTGAACGGTTTGAATGCCTATTTTTTGGATTATGAATACAATCGCATAAAACGAGCCTTGAAATGACAATATGCACTAATTTAATAATGCAATGCACGGCACGGCACTATTCAAAACATATGAGTGTAACGAAAATGTGATGCTTGTATTGCTTGTCTTCTGCAAATGTCAACGAATACTCTCAAAAGCAACGAATACTAAACGATTGGTATGAATAGTTTCAATGCTGATTGAATAAGTTGTAAGAAAAAATTAACGTACAAATTTTTTAGTATAAAATTGAATGTTTTGTTTGGTTTTTATTGTTATAAGTATTAGGCTTCATTCAGAAGACATGAACAGAAAATTATTTTTAAAGCATCATGACATTTATATAAGAATGTTAATATAATTTTTCTTGTTTATGAATATAATACTAAACTTTTTGCATAAATGTTAAAAATTTTATGTGTATTAAATGCAGATATAAACTAAAAAAATAAAAAACAGGTAGTAAAAAACAGTATGGTACACCATAATAATTTTCAAAATTATTTATTTATCATAGAGAAACTTTTATGTTGAATATTTCTTTAATTCCAATGCATTTAAGCAATTCATTGATGAACAACAATTGTCTAAAAGAGTCTTTATATAGGAGTTAGTCAAAGTGGTCAAATATGGACCGATCTTCATAAAATTTGGAGGATGGAGGATGTATTGGTATATAAACGTTAATTATGTTGAATTTCATCGGTGATCATATTATTCTGTATACCCAGCTAAAAATGTTCATATATGGAGTCATACATCTTCATATATGGAGCTACATATATGTTCGGATCCGAAAATTGGCGATATATGAACATATATGACAATATATATTCATACATTTCCATATATATTCATATATTTCCATATATATTTATGGATTTTCACTATTTTTTCTATTAAAAAAATTAAATTTTGTAAAAATTTGATTTTTATATATTTTAATATTTAAAAGTTACATAAAATCTTAGGATATTTGCAGGTAACATAAGTTTTGATTTATAAATATAAATAAATTATTTAATTAACATTAATAAATATTTAAATTTATATTAAAAAACTATACTCTATGTAAACACGTACATACTTATTTATATGTTGTGTAAATAATAAATAAGAGAAAATATAAAATGAAATCTTAGCAAATATGTATGTATTTCTGGTAATTCAGATTTAAATTAATTAGAATATATATATAATTTTAAATTCATTTCATATAAATTTGTATACATAATATAATAAAATAATGATGATAAATATATGTATAATAAAATAAAATAACAAAATCTTAAGACATGATTCAAACCAAATCTATTAAATATTTTAAGTCTAGAATAAAAAAGTATTCATATAAAATAAAATGTATTCAGTCTTACTTATTTACTCTATTTACGGGAATTACATATTTTTTATGTTGCCTTTTAAGTTCTCCTATTTTTTGTGTCTTAGTTCGATTAACATCATACGGAGTTTAGGGGTCCATTCATGTTTTTGAGCATATTCGGTAGAAATCTAATCAATAATTATATAAAACATCAAAATTATAGTAAACATTAATACGTTTAGCTTGACATTCTTACCTGTTAACGCTTTCCGAGCTTCAACATTCAATGTGCCGTATTACATATTTTTCATAGTTTTTCATACATCTATCTAGAGTTTCTTTCAGGAGAATTTATAACTTCGATGTTTGTTGCATCAATTTCCTTTATTATTATGGTTGCAATTGCATGATTCGACACAACAGGTTGATCTTCAGATTCTCCACTTTGTTGTACTTCGGTTACTTTTTCTGCTGTTATCCTTGCCAATTTGTCTTGAAAGTTTTTTGATTCAAGACGTAAGTTTTCTTCAGTATTGTTCTAAATAATTAATAAATAATTATTACCACTTTTTATTTTATTTATGAATATTTATGAAATTAAATTATATACATATGTACTTACTTTTTCCTTCATATCAATAGTTTGTGTCGAATCTTCTTTCTTACGAATTTTATTTGTGTTTTTTTTTTGCAAAAAATTATTGTTTCCTTTGTTTTTACAGAAAATTTAACAGAAACACATTTTAAACAATTAATTTATATATTTAAATAAATATACTTAGCAGTTTTTGGTATTGTGTTACTATTTGTTTTAAATATTGCGTAGAATGTTTTTGTTTTTATTGTTAGCGGTGTTGCTAATATTATTTTACGTACGCGATTTTTAGCAGCGGGTAAATTGATGTATTCTAATGAATTGTCATTAATATACTGAATGAATATGAATGAAAATTAAATTGCAAATATCCAATGATAGTAAAGTTGATTTTTACCTAATTTTTTTTATTTTTCAATACCAGGTAGTAGTTTTCGCGATTTTTATACATACATATGTATGAAAATATAATAAAACCCACAATAAAGCATATTTCACCAAATTATTTTGGGAATATGCCACTTTTTAGAAAAAAAAAAAACATTGTCAATTAAAAAAGGAAAAAAAAAAAATACTTTTACCTACTTTTTGTAATATTTATGTGCACACGTGTAAATGTAATAAAATTCTAAAAAATGTATATTAAAAAGATTTTGGTACCCTTAACTTGAATGATTTTTTAGTGATAAATAAACATTTATGAGGATTTTTTACCTGTTTCTCGTGGTTTTTATGTATGTATGTATGTATGTACGTACAAGTTTTACAAAACACGGGTCAATAAATTTAACTGTTGGAAATGAAAAATTTTCCACTGACAAAAAAGGATTTTTGTTGAAAATCATCATTGTGCTTTAATTCTATTAGCAACACTTATATACATCAGCTGTTTAATAGTAAATAAATATTTTATATTTAAAACGAAAAACCAACCTGTTCCAAGAGAAAAAATTGTCCCGTTCGGCCATTATGTGCCACTTCAGCATTCCCATTTGAAGGCAAAAATAGATTAATTGCTAAAAGTGTTCATGGTACCCGCCATTTACATAAATAAATGATAAACAACAACAAAATAACACAGGGAGCGTATGTTACAAATTTAGATATAAATATGTACGCATATCTTTGTTTATGCCAGGAATAAATTTGGGAACACAATTTTTATATCTACTTTATACACAAGAAAACATGTAATTAAGCATGTTAAAAATAATATTTGTTCTCTTGAAAATAGTTTTAATATTATTTTTTTAAAATTACTCATTAATAAAGATCAATTATGAGAAATATGAATGCATATGAACATCCATACATACATACAAACATACATACATACATACTAGTGTTTTTCATTTCCTGGACTTATGCATTTCCCGGGAAACCGGGATGGATTTTGAAATTTCCCGGGATCCCGGGAATTCCCGCCTAGAACATAAAATCATATATTTACTTTGTTAAGTATGTATTTTTTATTTTAAATTCATATTAATGAGATGAAAAATATAAATCAAAATAACAATAGAAACATATAAAAGGTACAGTTCTTTAAAAAAATAAATAATTCAATGTATTTTTAAAACTACTTAAAAATATATAGGTACATAAAAACATAAAAAAAACTATATATCTATTAACATATTTATTTAATACTTTTAAAGTGAGTTTTTAAAACCGACAAAGCATTTATTGATTCATCTGAAAGTCGATTTCTAATTTTGGTAACATATTGACCCGCGAGAGAGAAAACTCTCTCGCTTTCAACAGATGTTGGCTTAATAGTTAATAAGGCCTCTAAAAGATTTTTTATATTTTCCGTTTGCTTACCAGACTCTCCAAAAAATTTTAAGTCTTTTTTTATCGAACCGTTAGGTACATTAGTGTTTGATGTAGATATTTCACTAACGTTATTTATTGCATCGTTTAAAATGTCCTCAAAATTTTTATCTTCTAAAATATCATTAACGTTGCTATCTATTTCTATTTCTTCTAATTCTATATTTTTTTCGGTAAACAGACGGTTATAAATTTGTTCTGCATATAATATAATTGAGTGTTTTGAAGCATTCGGAAAAAAATTATTATTATTATTAAAAATTTCAGGATCTTTCAAGTATTTGGTCAAGGTATACAATTTTATATCTCTTCTTTCTCCAATTCGGTATATAAGAGATTCAAACATTGTCTTTCCTAGTGAAGTATTAATTGAAGAAATTTGTCGGCATAAAGTATTTACTATCACATCAGCTGTTATAATATTAACTTCTCGCCGACATAAAGCTTCCACAGCTAATTTTATTGGTTTTAAAACGTCCAAAAGGTTCTGCAAATTATTTATATTGGATTCTATCCATAGGTCTCCCATTTCCAAATCAATGAGACTTTTCTTTATTGCATTTTTTAAAAGTAAAATTTTTTCGATCATTGGAACTAGAGAATTCCATCTGGTTACTATATCCAATACAAGGCAGATTTCCTTATTATATTCGGCCAATACATATCTTTGTAACACACAATTTTTTGTTGGACTCTTTCTAAACAATTTAATAACACGACGAGTTTGTTCTAATACCAATTTGTAATTAGTATTGATTACAAAAACATAATCTTCAGAGTCGTCTTCCAATTTATCTTCAAATTCATTACTGTCGCTCAATTCCAGATCGGCAGATATTGGTTCCACTTCTGTTTTTTTATACAGAACATCAACAACTGCTAAATGTAATGCGTGGTTAAGGCAAAATACACCATCAACTGGGCTTTGTCTGACAAATTTTTTCATAACATTTGGTCCGTCGGTTGTTGTTGCGACTATGTGGTTTTCAAAGGTGATATTGTATTCCTTTAATCGAGTTTCCATAAGATCGCGGATTTCCAAAGCTCCACTTTTTCCTGGAATATATACCATTCCTAAGTTATGTCGGGTTCTTTCCTGTCCATACAAACTTATATTAAGGTATCTTCTATTTTTTATACTTGTCCATTCGTCCATAACAAGGGAAAATCTAGATTTATTTTTTAACTGTGATTCAATATGTTGTATAATTTCATTTTTAACTTCACCAAATCTACTTATTATTAATTGTTGGACATCACGTTCAGTTCTTGGAAGGTGAAACCGTTTAAGCAACATCGATTCTCTTATGAACGTACTTCTCGTTATGGATCTTATGGAAAAACCATCAACTGCTGCTAATTTGGACACTATTTGGTTCATGTCATCTTTTTTGTTTTTGGAGTAGTCCAACATTGTTTTTTTAACTTTTGCGGGAGGTTCTTCGTTTTTGCGTTCTATATTTTCAAACTGTTTGTTGTGTATACCTTTTAAGTGGCGCATAAGACCACTGGTGCTTTGACCTTTGAAGCATATTATTTTTGAACACAATTGACAAACAGCAGTATCTGGTGTCTTCTTTTTAAAATGTTCCCATACATAGGACTTTTTATCTTCCATCTACAAAATAATTGTAAATAATTTATTTAAAACTAAAAGATATTTAATTATTATAAGAAATATTCACCTTAAACAATGTTTTATTTGCAAACAAACACAAACATTGTTGTTGAAAAACAGTCAGCTGTTATATCAAAAAAAAAAGAACAAAACAAAAACATACAAATTGACAGTCAAATAAATGTTGCCAAATAGTAAAAATTTTAATTCATAATAATTCCCGGGAATTCCCGAACAAATTTCCCGGGATTTCGGGATTGAAAAATTTGCGGAATTCCCGTGAAAAACACTAATACATACATACATACATACATACATACATACATACATACATACATACATACATACATACATACATACATACATACATACATACATACATACATACATACATACATACATACATACATACATACATACATACATACATACATACATACATACATACATACATACATACATACATACATACATACATACATACGAACAGCTCTAATATGGGTTCATATATGATTCCATATATGAAACATAAAATTAGTTTTGAAATCATATATTTTCATATATGATCCCATATATGGCAAAATTATTTATGGATGAATCCATATATGTTCATATATGGTCCCATATATGACAAAAGTGTTCATATATGCGTCCATATATGATACAAGTTTTCATATATGCTTCCATATATGCGTCCATATATGATTCAATTCTCCATATATGGTTCCATATATGATAAAATTTTTCATATATGTTCATATATGAACCCATACATGTTCATATATGAAACCATATATATTCATACATTTTCATACATGTTCATATATAATCATATATGACCTTTTTTAGCTAGGTATGAATATTTTCGCTCTTGACAAGAGCGTAAAAAATACAAAAATGTTATTTAGTTGCTTGAAAGCATTCAACAAAGTAGGTTGATGTCGGTTTGTTTCAGAAATTACATTATTATGTAATGCATAATAATCACTGTTGCTAAATAAAACTGGCATAAAATCGTCAAAACTGGTCTTAAAATCGGCAAATTCGTTAAAATAATTTTTAAGTCGTCAAGAAATCGGAAAAGTAAAAAAACATATTATTTACTGTTAAAGTATTTTCGATAATACAATGGAATTTATATTTCTGAAATTAGGTTAGTTGTTCAATTATTTTTACACAACGATATTTATTAAGAGCGAACCCGTTTTTTGTCAGTAGACCAGGGAACCAACTTTCTGCAGAAATATTTCTTGTCAGTTTCGATTTAAATAGGATTAAATTTATCCAGCAATTTTCTTTATGATTTTATGCAATTTTGCACAAAAAGGCAATTTTTGGATAACCGACAAAGCGGTTTCTCATTTTTTTATAAACTCTAAAGGGGATTTTACATTACAAATCAAATTTGTAAAAAAATAATACAAAAACAAATTTGTTGTCAAACTGTGTTGAACAATTTTCATTCATGTATTACACCGTCCGACAAACAGAGAAAAAATTCGTTAGACATGAACCGGATGATATACGTCTGAAGCTATAAATTTAATGGAGAAAACCTCCGTTTATACTTTAAACGGAGTTCTTATACAATTTTAATGAGTAATCTAAAAAAAATCTGAGTCACACTGTTAAAAACTTGAAGACTATTATATTTTAAGTTTGTTCTCGATTCGAGAAAATTACAGAAACGAGGTACTGACTACAATACATTTTCAAATAATACTTTGTATTAACCAAAGATATGTTAATAAAATTTCCAAAAATATAAAAATTATTTTTTTGCCACGCCTAGAAATACCGCCCTTTTTGTTTTTTATATATTACGTCGTCATTTTAAGTCCGATCGTTACATATGATATATCAGTATTTATGGCTTGGCTGTAGCTACATTTCACCCTTAGACGATTTTTAAATTAGACGTAACATTCTATGCCCGACTTCTGATATCTCGGATCCTTCCCCAAAATCTGAAATTGTGAACTATACACAATAAAGAGCTTTTAATTATATGAAATATAGGCTTTTGAAATGCTCACTTTTATGCACAAACAGCTATTTTATAGATATTTAAAAATGTTCATATATTCATTATAATTGTTCTCACAACAAATAATTAATTTGCTAGGAAAAACCGTCGAAAACATTTTTTTTTGAAAATTAATTATAAAACTGTTATTTTTTCAGTTACAAACCGTTCCAGATCCTACTTCCTATCAAAAATGAGGAAAGTTTATTATATCCTACAGCACTATAGTGGTTTAACAGTGAAACCTATTACTTATTATCATAGTTGACAATGGCGTATATAAATATGGATAAATTGGACTTTTTAACTTTAATATTTAAATGTTTTTGTAGATAGGACCTTTTAAAAAGTTTCTTTCTATCAATGCGATTTATTTGTAGTGAATAAACAAATTGTTTAATAGTGAAACCTATTAGTTATTATGATAGTTGACAATGGCGTATATAAAAATGAATAAATTGGACTTTTTACCTTTAATATTTAAATGTTTTTGTAGATAAGGCCTTTTGTTTTTTGTCAATGAAATCGCTCATTTTGGTCGGAGGAGGAAACAATTCAATATAAATGCTATATTAAACAAGTAAGAAATTATAGTCGGGCGAGGCCGACCATATAATACCCTACACCTGTTACAAAAATAAAATTTGATTTAGTTTTCATAATAAAGCATTTAAGTTGAATTGTACCTTGTCTCAGATATACTTAAGTCATTTATTGTTTAATAAAATTGTGGACATTTAAGTCAAATTTTGAAGGGGGCTTTGTATAGGGGCTATGGTCAAATGAGACCCTATAACTATAAAATTCATGTCGGTCATCAAGGCTAGCATAGAACTTGGTTTTGCAGGTTTTTGTCGAGATACGAGTATATTAAATATAAATATGAATTTAAGAGCCCTATTCGGCGTGTTCAGTTGTATGGGGGCTAGGTGAAATAATGGGCCGATGTTAACCATTTTTAAAAGGCTTCGTTTCCGATATCATAGAAGATTGTGTGCCAAATTTCATTGAATTATCTTCAAAATTGCTACCTGTAGTTTGATTACAAGGTTTACATGGACGGACAGACGGACGGACATAGCTAAATCGACTCAGAAAATGTTTCTAAGCCAATTGGTATACTTTAAGAAGGGTATAGGTCCAATATTATTGTGCGTTACAAACATCAGCATAAACCCAATATACCCTCCCCACTAAAGTGGTGCACCATGGTGTAGGGAATACAAATAAATCATATTTTATTTATATTCATATCTGGTATCATATGGTCGGCCATTCCCGATTATTCGTTTTTTATTAGTTTTTATTATTAAAGAACTTCTTTAAAATTATGTAACTATTTAAAAGAACCATAAAATAAATTTATCACATTTTATAAAAATTAGTATAAACATTTTTAAAAATTGTTAAAAAAAGAAACATGCAAGTAGTTGTATGGAAAAAACAAGAAAAACGTTTTTCTAAAACTTAGCATAACACTTTAATTTTTCATCGATTTTTATAAAATAAAATGTTTAATTTTTATGTACCTACGTGATTTTGTTATTAATTAATAGAATTAAATGCTGAATAAAATGATCTTTCTTTTGTTAAGATAGGGGAAGGATGCAATTATTGTATTGTAAATTAATTTGAAAAAAATTGTTTTCGACCATATCCCTAGCAAATTAATTGTTTGTAGTTTGAACTATACAGGTATTTTTAAATACTTGTAAAATAGCTCTTTATGCATAAAAGTGAACATTTTAAAAGCCTATATTTTATGCAATTAAATGCCACAATTTTAGATTTTGGGGAAGGATCCGAGATATCAGAAGTCGCGCAAAGATTATGACGTTGAAATAAAAAATTGTCTAAGAGTGAAATATAGCTAAAGTCAAGCCATAAATATTGATATATGATACGTTACGATCGGACTTAAAATGGCGGCGTGATATACAAAAAACAAAAAGGGCGGTATTTCTAGGCGTGGCAAAAAAATATATTTTCTATTTTTGGAAATGTTATTAACATATCTTTAATCGTAGGGGGTGACTGACTCAACTTTTTTTTTCGACCCACCCTAGTAGACATGTATTATAGAGTTGACCTCAGTATCAACTGACAAAAATTTCAATGTCCTAGGTGTCCTGGTTCAAAAGCTATAGGATGTTGCGTATAGGCAACATTGGGCAATAGTGTTATAAATTTAAATACAAGTTGATTTTTTTTAAATGCCGTTTATTTCAATTTGTGTATGGTAGGATACAAAACAATTTTTTTTTAAGGATTGGAGCACAAGTGCACATTGCATTTGCTGCATTTTTAGCTTGGAAATCCAGTGTTGCATAGTCTACATCTGCCCCTTGTTCCCCATTCTGGCCAATGATTATAACCACCAAATCGTAGGGATTTTGCAGGCTCTGCAACATATGCTCTTTTATAGGGGTTTGATTCAGAAGCCGTAGAAGGAGCTGGTGGTATTGGAGCTGCTGATATTGAAGCTGGTTATGATGGAGCTGGTTATGATGGAGCTGGTGTTGATGACGCTGGTGATGACGGAGCTGATAATGAAGTTCCTGAATTCATTGTCAAAAGGAGTGATGATGGACGACCTCTCTTTTTTGCGACAACTGTAGTTTGACTTGCGATTAAAAGCTCTGTAGCAATTTCTAATTGGAATTTTATGAGCGGTATATGCTTCATTTCTCCGTCTGTAATAGACCAATGTTGCATATACGCAACACAACATTTAATAATATTTTAATGCTATTTTTTTAAGTTACTCACTTACCTTTTATTATTTAGTTGCAGAACTTGGTTTTAGGATGAATTAATTATATTAATGTTTTTTAACACTTTTTTTAAACAAATCTTTTTTGTAAAATGAATTTGTTAACTATGCTCACGGGAGAATAGCTTCTTACTGAACACGTGCAGAGGTGACTACCAACCAATTAGCTGAGAGCTTAAACAACACATGAAGCAACATTTTTTCGAATGTTTCAAAAAAATATATTAAAAATAACGGTATTTAGACACTCATAAACACAATGTTGCATATATGCAACATCGGGCATGAGAGGGTTAATACAAAATAACATAATGTAAAGTACCTTTAAGTAATAGAAATTAAACAATAAAAAATGAATTGAAATCAAACGCACTAAATAAATTTTTCATTAAATACGTTTCTGCTTTTGTTTTCTTACTTCAAAAGTATTTGTTTTTGTTTTAGTTTTGCTCATGTAGATTAGTATTAGTATTGTACATTATATAAACGTTTGCGAAAGTCTCGTTTGCTTTCATACTCTGCAACGAATACTGGACGAATGGTATGAATGTTTTTAGTTTTTTCATGTGGCATTGAATTATTTCGTTGCTTGATGTATAAACTCATATAAAAAGAGATTGTAATTAAGGCAATGCACATTTGTATTATTGTCGAGTAAAGGCAATTCAAAAGCAATGAATTTGCGAATGGGCAGTAAACGTGAATGGTTTCATTCTGTTCTCTGATACGAAATAAAATACACAAAAACAAAATACCGTATTGTTGTTTTTGCTTATTTATCAAAGCATGCAAAAAATGTTCTTATTTTGATGAAATTTTCAGAGGTTGTCTCGAATTTTTGCTTATATCTCCGTTATTTATGGACGGACTTTGCTGATTTTAAATAGGAAACTTCTCGAAAACATATCTGACAGAATTATTGTATATTTAAATCCCGAAGAAATTTGGGGTCTTCAGAAAACTGATTTAAACAGACGAACAGACAGACGGACATTGCTTAATCGACTCCGCTATCTATAAGGATTCAGAATATATATACTTTATAGAGTCGGAAAATTATATTTTAGAAATTACAAACGGAATGACAAACTTATATACTCTATACCCTTCTAACGAAGGTGAAGGGTATAAATAGGTCTGTTCGAGTACTCGATAATTTGTAATAATTTTTAACAATTGGTACTGGATTCTGTTCGCGTACTTTTGAAAACTTGCAACGAGAGAGTAAGAGAGCGATAAATATATGGGACAGTTCGTTGATAGAAAATTGTTTAATTTCACTGGATATTTTTTCCCCAGTAAAAATATCAAACATATGTTCACAACATACGGTTGATTAATGAATATGTAAACAAACCAAAAACAACGAAAATTTGGTAAGTTTTACATTTTTAGAAAGAAATATATAAATTAACTAGCTATACCCAATGTGCTTTGCTACCCTAAAAGCAAAAAAAAACTACTTACACATGGTAGATGCCACTCAAATTATTGCAAGTTCGCCAACTTTTCCGAACGCTAATAAGGATTTTAATGTAAGCTATGGAAAATGTAAATAATATTGTATTGTATTTAACTCATATGGGAGGGGCCTATCCCCCCATTAAAAGTCCGCCCATTTTTCTCTAAATGATCACATGAATGTCAAAGTTCTTCATGTAAAATTTGTAGCTTCTACAGTATCTCAGATATAAAAATTTTTCTATAAAATTCATATGTGGGTACCAAGCCACCCCCTGATGAAAGTCCGCTTTTTCCCCCAAAACGTTCAGATGAATATGAAAGTCCTTTTTCCAAAATTTTAGAAATCTAGTTCTATTAGTTTCTTAGATAAAATATTTTGTTGTATTTTAACTCTAATAGTTTCCAAGATAAACGAATTTGTGTATTTAATTAATATGGGAGGTGCCACGCCCCCTGCTGCTAGTCCGCCCTAACTATCATATCGGACTTTATTTGACCCTAGCCCCCATACAAAGTCCCCTTCAGAAAATGGCTTGAAGGTCAATAATTCACTTATAAACACTAGTATCACAATGAATCAACCGTACATAACTCTAATGTAAACGTAAAGCCATGTACCAAAATTTATAAGGATAGCCCCATATTTACCCTTACCCCCACATAACCCATCTTTTAGAAAATCACTTTTTTCAACAAATTATTAAAATATTTCGGAATTAAGGTAAACAACTTAAATACTTTATTATTAAAAATAATCAAAATTTAACATACTCAATGGTGTAGGGTATCATATGGTCGGGCATACTATACTTTCCTACTTGTTTTACGTTAGTACTGTTTCAGAAAAATTAAGGTAATAATGCTTATTATAGACAAGTTCTTCACAAGATTGTATATGATTTTTTTTTAAATTATTGGTGGGTTTCACAACTTTCGAAAATTTGTATAATCTTGAATTTTTGACTCTTCTCGGAAACGTCTGGTGAGTTTTAATGTTTGAGTACTGGGATATGCTATTTAATTGTTTTAGTAATGATGATGTGTACGAATTCATTGTGTATTCCAAAAATGCTTTAAGTAACCAAAGGCAATATTTGTCTGTAAATGTGGAATCTATACAATTGGAATCACCCATCAGTACTATCCGACCCAGTTTATTTCCATCGTGAAACATGCTTGGAACATTTTTTGAGTTAACTTTGGTGTCTCGTATTTCAGTAAAAGATTTCAAATTCGACTCAAGTAAAACTCTTTTATTTAGAATTGGATTTGTAATATTAATATTACTCATATCAAAAAAATCATTTCCAGTATTAATCACTCCAAATATTCTGGGAATTGATATTTTTTTCCTATCAATTTGATGCATTTGAAATAATCCTATAATTGGATATTTTTTTTTTATTCGAATGTTAGATGCGATGTTCACATTATTTATTATCTGTAAATATAAGAATAAATATTACATTTTGTATTAAATAGTAAAAATCTGAATAAAAACAGAAAAAGAAGAAACAGAAGAAACAGTATAATTTGGAAAAAAAAGTTGTGCTAACCCAATAAACCAAAGAAGGATATGATAGCGAAAACGGTATTTACTTTTTTAGGGTGATTATGTTATTACATGTATGTATGTATGTATGTATGTATGTATGTATGTATGTATGTATGTATGTATGTATGTATGTATGTATGTATGTATGTATGTATGTATGTATGTATGTATGTATGTATGTATGTATGTATGTATGTATGTATGTATGTATGTATGTATGTATGTATGTATGTATGTATGTATGTATGTATGTATGTATGTATGTATGTATGTATGTATGTATGTATGTTTCGTTATTTGGAATTGTTGTACTTCATTTTATATCGAGCCAATTTTTTGGCAAAAATTTGAAAAATTTGACCAATACTTTTTGATTTGTGGACAATCATAACAGTATAAGTATTTTTACAAATTACAATACATTAACTAAGTATTTTTTCACAATTTTTTGAACAATATTTTCTTAGAAATTTTAACTACACATTTTAATAATGCTGTTTCAGTATTATAAATTTTACATTATTTCGATATATGTAGTTATTCCAAATTACACTAGTTTTCAACGATTTTGCTCATGATATATATGGATTCTTTATTTTGGCCGTCTAAAAAAATATTTAATGAAGACCTAAATTTTAAATTATTGAATTTTTTTCTGAGTTTATAGTTAGGTTCGCAAAACTGGTGAAAGCACCCAAAAATCAATTCTCATTTTCAAATATTTTTCCACCACTACTGAAGAAGGATGCTTAACAAAAACCACATTATCTCAAAATTTCGATGTATCCCAACAAAAAAAAAAATTCCAAAGAAGCGAAAAAGAAGTAGAATTTACTCCATGAAAGTACTAAAAAAGACCTGAAGAAGTGATGATTTGTCAGAGGAGGGGTATATGTTTCATTTCATTTCTGAATAACTTCCAAAAAGGGAGCATACAAATTATTTCTTGAGAATGACTTCCGAAGTAATGAATTTGGAATCAAATAAAAAGGACATCCCTCCTATGACAAGATTGTGTTAAAATCAACCCTTCATCAGCTCTTTTTTAGTACTTCCATGGAGTAAATTCTACTTCTTTGGAAGTTCTTTTTTTGCTGGGGTACATCGAAATTTTGAGAAATACAAATAAAATAAATATACAAATATCAATATTTGTAAAGTTTTTTAAAAAAATAATTTTTGGGTATAAGTAACGTGACCATATATCCCACCAAAAGCGGGATTATTCCGCTTTTTAAAGGTTGATCCCGACATAGATTTCAATCCCGCTTTTTAATAACAAATCCCGATTTTTGTTACATAACAGGTCAATCGTATTTAATTTTATTGTAATCAAATTGGGATTTACTATTAAAAAGTTTAAAATTTAAACTTTAAATTAAGGAATTTAGTTAGAAAATAGAGATTCTAAAGAAATATTATAGTATTTATTAATAACTTTTCAAAATGTGGGTAAAATAGACATCCACTTTTTAAATAACAAATTTTCAGGTTGATTTTTAAAGTTAATGGTCTAAAAAATAATATTATTTCAAGTGACAACTGAACATTAACTTTTTGGACCCATGACTTTTAACTTTTTAAGCTGTGATTTTTTGTCGAGTTACAAGAAAAATATCAATCCAATTTTATGACAAATATTTTAACTCCCGAGCTACTGGAGAATTTAATGTGTTTTCACTTAAAGTAACTGTGTATCTAATCCGTCAGAGCACACTAATATTTAACAATCAGGAGAAATAAGTAGTTCTATTTGTGGTTCTATTCTGATTTGTTTTATTTTTTAACTAATATTTAAGAGTGATTTTATCGAATTTTTCTTATACACTATGTTTCCTCAGGTTTTAGTTAGAATTCTCGAGGAACATACACAAAATGCTACATAAAAAGTTTAATTTATACTGATTTTTTAATAACACAGGCCAACAAAAAATTTTAAAAGTCGAAAGCAAGGATTGCTACTTAAAATTTTAATCTGGCATTAGAATTTTTTTATCATATCAAGTTTTTGTATATATTTTAGTAAAATGCAAAATAATTTTATATAATTTTAGAAAAAAAATTTGTTCATTTCACGATTTTTTTAAAAACATAAATATGTTAGTTCTTTTAAAATAATCATTGTAGATTTAAAAAAAGATTGCGAATTAAAAAAACAAATTTTTTATGTTTAAAAAAAAAAACATAAAAAATTTTACAGGAAATTAGGCAGCTAATTTCCTGTAAATTTAAAATAACGTTTAATTTAACTCGCTTAAAATTACGAAAATAAAAAAAATTCGTAACAAAATAATTTTTTTTTGTGAAATCAAAAATAATTCTTGTATATTACTAAATAATTTTGTTACGAAAAAAAATCGTTACTTTTTTTAAATATTACATGTCTTAATGAAATTATTTTTATAAAAGAAAACAAAGTTTCTTAATATCGACGAAAAAAGATATCACGACAGGTTTTCGTACTTTCGTAAAATTAGAAAAGGGGTTGATTAAACAATATTTCGTATTATACACGAAATTTTCGTATATATTACGAAAAAAGTAGTTACGAAATTTTTTTCGTAATGTTAAGCATTGATTATTTTCAGTGTAACAATCAACTCAAAAAACAAAACAAGTAAGAAATTATTAATCAATTAACCCGTTTTTACGAATTTTACACATTCGTAATTCGTTTTGACAGTTCATCGCCATGTTATTTTTTTCATTCATTATTTTGTAATTTTTTGGAATATTTGTGTGTGTATGATACAAATTTGATTACAATGTTTACAAGCCCTATTCAGGGGTTCAGTTGTATGGGGGCTAGGTGAAATAATAGACCGATTATAACCATTTTATATACTCTTCGTCCCTGGGACAATAGAAGATCATGTACCAAATTTCATTATCTTCAAAATTGCGACTTGTAGTTTGATTACAAGATTTACATTGACGGACGGACATAGCTAAATCGACTCAGAAAATTATTCTAAGCCGATTGGTATACTTTATACAAACCCAATATACCCTCCCACTAAAGTGGTGTAGGGTATAAATAATAATATATAAAATTTGGGACTTTCTTAACCCACGTTTATTTAAAAAATAAAAAAGATAAATTTCCAAGAAAATTCTTGACATTTTATTCCAGAATTGCAAACTTATATATCATTCATATATCATATATCCGAGTATATCATTTTAATTAATATCCTTTCCGATATCTGTTCATCAAGATTTATTAAAATTTTTTTAACGGAATTTTGAATATTTATTTATTTATTTATTTCCTGTGCAACGACATTTTTGTAAGTAACACCAATAAAATTGTTTATATAAAAAATAACTAAAACTCTAAATATTAAATTTTTTCTTTCATAAAAGAGCATCTTCGGAAAATCACGCAGATGCTCAAATTAATATGCCTTAAAGCACTGATACACGGTTGTCAGATCTTACAACGTTGTCAGTAAAATTGGAGTCTAGTCTATAGTCTAGTCTACAGTCTAGTCTATAGTCTAGTCTAGTCTATAGTCTAGTCTATAGTCTACTCTATAATCTAGACTATAATCTTGACTATACTTAGCCTATACTCTAATCTATATTCTAGTCTAGTTTATAGGCTTGTCTAAATTCTAGTCTATAATCTAGACTTTAGTCTAGTCTATAAACTTGTCTATAGTCTATTCTATATTCTATTCTATAGTCTTGTCTATAGTATAGTCTTTAGTCTAGTCTATAGTCTAGATTATAGTCTATATTCTAGTCTATAGTCTTGCCTATAGTATAGTCATTAGTTTAGTCTATAGCCTAGTCTATAGTCTTGTCTATAGTCTAGTTTTTAATATTGTTTATAGTCTAGTCTGTAAGATACAATCTAGTAATTAATTGAGAAATTATTTAATTAATTTATTACTCAATTTATTTAAACAATTATTTATTATATTAATGAATATAAAAATATATTAATAATAAACAAATCTCTATAATTTTCAATTTTATCTATAATTTAATGAAACTTATTTATAATTTGGATATTTCCCGGCTTATAGCGGAACAACCAAGGTTTTACGCTACATTGACTATACTAAATAGCTACAACAGGACAGCGCAGGTCCACTATCTGTCTCATTTCCACTTGCACAAGGTATTGAAACGTAATTTGTATTTTTTTGTGGTAAAATTTTGATGAAAAACAATTTAAATGAAATTTTAGAACAAATATAAGTTATTATTCAGTAATTTATCTTTTTAGTATATATAAACACATATATTTTTGGCTTTTGGTTTGGTTTCGCATTAACTGTTTCTCTTGTTATGTTCCTCTATGCCTTTTTACTGTTTTAAGGCTCAGTTAGTCTCTAGGTTCCGTTGCGTGATGAATCAGCTGATTCGTTTTTGGTTTACGAAAATCTTTGTAAGTCGTTAGTTTGACCGTAACGTTGAAGTTGCGGATGAACCTGTAGAAAATAGAATTCAATCCGCATGTCAAGTGACAGCTATAAACAGCTGACATAAAATACAATAAATTGTAAACATGAAAAAACCAGTGATGTTTTTAAAATAGTGTACATCCGAAAATGTTAATTATTACGATTAATGGAAATACTTAAAAATTAAACATTAAAATTAATGTACTTCTTAAATTAGTAAATATTTATTAAAAAAAATATCAAAAACGCGAAAATGAAAAAGTGAGAGAGAAAAAACTCTCATGTCAAAGAAAACATAAAAGTTGAATTACTTTCAACATAAAAGCCATAAGAAAAAAAAGAAAAAATAATAAAAAAATTGTGTTTCGATAATATTTTTACTTTTTATAATTATTTTAATTGTGTAATAATTATATATGTAATAATAATAGTTTATTTATATTAATCTAGCTTTAAACACAAAGAAAGAAA